GTATAAATAAACAGCAAATACAAAAGGAGGAACGGATAGACAAACTTGAAGAAGATTGTAGAGGATTAAAGTTGTGTTTTTTGAAAATTTGTTATTCTAACAGTTTTTCAAAGTTCATTTTTATTGTTTCGTTTGATATAATGCTTAGGAACAAAAAAAAATCTCCAGTTTCAAAGCAAATAAGGACGCGGAAGTAAAGAGATTAAATAAATCAAAACATAAATTTTACTCAAATTCAACCAGTAGTGTCATATAGCCAGGACGCTTTAGGAAGAATTAGTTCAATTTAACCTATTTAGAAGCATGTAGTTGTCAATTTCTCAAGCACAGTTTCCAACCTATACTTGCTCAATACCAGATAATTAAGGGAGGACGGCTCAAATGTTGTCATACGCACAAAAGTGGAAACTTCATTCGTGCTTACAGGTGACTTAATGGAGAGATTTACAGTGAGTTTAAAAGGGGACCAAGGACGGACCCTTGTGGTACACCAAACTGCAGAATATGACGCTCGGAGGTTGATCCATTTACAAACTGCCGGCACGGTCGCTCAAATACGATTGAAACCATTCCAATGCCGTACCAACAATTTCAAATCGATGAGAGAGGCATGAAAGGAAGCCGATGCCGCAGAAAAGCAAGGAGTAGTAAAACCATTACGGGCACGGATTAAAGCCGTCTCAGTACTGTGAAGTTTTCTGTACGTTGAATGATAAATGACATTGAGATTATTGACATCTAAATAAGATCAGCAGGAGGTATTCCAGATTCCAACGAAAGGTTGACATAATCACTGAGCTAACAGTAGTAAAGCAATCCTTCTTGATACAACTAGTAATAGTCACAAAACTTAAAATACATAGATCCAACAAATGCTATTAGCTCAGTCAACGAGACACTTGCAAAGATAGTAAATTGACATTCACCAGCAACGTCTTTGAACTCAAGAACAATTTCAGGTGTTGGTCGATCAAGACCTTCTCGAATTCTCTTGATTTTGTTCCCACAATGCAACGAATTCGATCCTACGCTAACGATGATCAAGAGGCGCTGTAATGTTGCGGAAACTTGGTTTTAGGGCGCCGGGGAAGTAATTTCAAAATAGTTGAAAACAGTTTCATCAAATCATATTGGTTTTCAGCGACTATTCAAGAATAATAATTCGATAATTCGATCTAAATGACGATAACACATTAGCTTGACACTGTCCAACATTTTATATCGGCTCACACGTAAGGTTGGACAGATGAAAACGTAAACACAAATTTCAATGATCACTTCGGCATAGATAATCAAATTCTATTACCCATGGTGCTCCAGTGTTCCGCTAAAGATAGAACAATTCTGCGGCTCTTAGCAATTGGCTGAAGGAGGAGGTAAACGACACAGAAAGATTGCGACAAAAATCATTTCTCGCTCCACAGTTGGTACTTTATTTTATTAATAGTAACAAAGAGGACCCCTATATCCCTGATACACAGTTACCGTAAACTGAGGTGTAAAATCCCACCGAAATAAAGTTTTGATGAATGTATAGTCTGGTTTTGTCGCTGAGTGCAGCTTCTTCCCACGAGTTCCATATTTGGTAGTCTATAAGCAGTTTGTAATCGGAAACTTAATTAAGAGCGATTTACAGGTGGACTTTAACTACAAAACACAAAATGAAAAAAGGTTGACAAGATAAAAATAGGGGAGTTTGAACATGTTTATTCAACTTACATAATCAAGAGAGGAAAACAGTAGTTTTCTGGTGAGTATAAGCAGTTGAAAGCCAATTGTGTCTTGTACCTTTTGTATCCTTTTGACTTGAAATGAAGTGAGCTGACAGAGCTCGATTCATTTCAGTCATATTTTTTTTGGCTAAAAAGTGAATGCAAAACGTGTTAGGGTGATCGAAACCATTCTCGCTCCAAATAGCTACATGAATACAATCATAGTCTTCAGTTGAGGAGAGAGAACTTGTTTTAGTGGAAGTCAAAAGAGGCGAAATTTGACAAAAGTGAAAAATGTATAGCAAAGAGATCTAAGCCTCAGGATATTAAACTCTGTTTTGACGATTGTTCCGTTATCTTCACTCCTCGCCAACGATGCGGGAGAGCCTTTAAGTGTAGACTTTCATGTTGTCCAAATGTGTATTTTAGAGAGACATATTACATCTATTGTAGGAAATACTCCTTAATTAGTTAAAAACGAAATCTTAGACTAAGAACAAGCCAAAGTTAAAAATATAAGACCGGGTAAAAATGAAAAGTGTTACATTGGGGCCGACAAAAACCATGATCGACATGCATAATACGAACAGCTGCAATCTGGCTTGGCATTCCAAACAAACAGAAAAACAAATTTACACACCCTTAAAAAACCATGGATCAGTTTTGATGGAATCTGTTAATCGAACAATGGCATATTTTTGCCACTGTTGGTCAGCTTACGCTGGAAGGAGCTCAGACTGAATAAAGTTGCCATGGAGTTTGAAGACTGTTTTAGAGATCCCGGATTAAACTGAAAGGCTTGAAAGAGAAAACTGAGACATACTTATGACTCAAGTAAGTCACCAATTTTTAAACAAGAACTGTTGGACGTGGTGAATTCGGTATAGAAAATGGCCCGTATATAATATAAAGAAATCATTTTTTTAGCATTTCACTGTGTTTTGTTCAAACTTCTACTGAAATAATCACTTTTCCTCTTTTTTACTGAATTGATTGATTTTTGTCTGGATCCGAGCCAATATTTTGGGACGCGGTTTTTCCTATCTGGTTCCACCTGCTGGTCTGTTAAGTAGTCGTCTTTTGTAATAAATAAATTAAAAACAAAATAAACCTATCGTTCAGCGAAGTAGTTAAATTGTCCTTTGCGGAAACACTGTTAAGGAGCCCTTTTCTATCAACCTAGTTCCACGCGGAAGGGCGTCAGTGAAAATCTTTTGGAACGAGATTGTTTTTAATCTGAAATAAAGCAGCATGAAAGTTGTCATTTTTCTATAAGTTCAATAGCGGTATAGTAAATAATAGGGAGGGTTCTTGGCCACTCAGAAAGCGTGTAGCTCGCCCGGTAAGAGCATATTTCTTTGTTTTTAACGACACACTAACAAACCTTTATCCCGGATTCCACTAGGCATCAAGAGAGATAAGGTACCACTTCTACGTTTTTATGTAAAAATAAAGGCAAATCTTTGTTTCCAGGTTTTTTCTCATAAGCATAGGCTTCTCTTTTTCTAATTAGGTTACGATTTTTTTGCCTCAAACGGAACACCAGAAAAAATCAGAGCCCCAGGTGGGATTAGGACGACCCTCTGTGATCTAGTCGGATGATCCAACCACTAAGTTACTGGAGACTCTGTGGCGAGCAAGGGTGAAATGTGGGTCTTTGACTAAAACTGCATCACGAAGTCAAACCAGGACAAGCACGTATGACTCATAGCTGCATCACCCAGTCGCGTTAAGGCATATCGTAGATCTAGTTAAAGACCCACATTTCACCCTTGCTCGCCATCGAGTCTCCAGTAGCTCAGCGGTTAGAGCATCCGACTAGATCACGGAGGTTCGTCCTAATCCCATCTGGGGCTCGGATTTTTTCCGATGTTCCATTTGATACAAATGGAAGGCACCTTCCCCCGTCGCGCGTGTCTTGCGCTCTACGCCCGCTTCGTGCTTAGCTCGTCCGAAAAACACAAAAAAAAAAATCAGTCCGAAATATCAAATAGTCATGCTTTGAAACTGATGTTAAAAAAAGCTCAAAATTTTACGAAGAATCGAAGACTGTATGGGCACATTAACACCTAAACTGCCAAGAAATGTAAATTTTCCTGATGGCTGATATTTCCTAAGGTATCGCATGGAAAGAACTAAATATTGCATTGGTTAGCAAGTTTAACAAATTCTTTCGCAGTGAACGATGTTGAGTTTTATTTAGCATGATACCCTTTCCTTATGTTAATGGAGCAAAATGTAAACAATTACGTCAACAAAGGTTCGCCGAAAACACAAAATGCTATATTTGAGAGCATGTCCATGTATGAAACTTGCAGAAGCGAGAGGGTATCTACTGCAGTGTCTATGAATAAAGAATGGTTGAATTTGTGAACCAATTACGCCTTTCAATGAAGTCAGTTTCATAGTCTTTATAATAAAGTTTAGATCTAGAGAAAACTGATTAGTGAAAAAAGCGTACTTAGTGACAGAACGTACAAAACACGGAGCTAAAAGGTTTTTTTGAAAATTAGAGTGTAATGTGTGGGAAATTTAACTGATTCTTTATCATTAAAACATTACCGCTAAACAAAAAAAAAAACAAAAAACATCAAAACAAGACGTGGGCAGTAGTAGAGGTATTAGTCGAGTGTTTCTCGACGTAATCGAGAAACCTTTCCCCTTGCCGTTTCCTACGCGCTTAACAACAGAACAGAGCGCAGTCAAGGCTGTCATTGAAGTTAAAGACGCAACTCAGCTATGCGGTTGCGGAAACAAAGCCTGAAAAAAAAATTTCAGGCTTGCAGGGATTCAAACCCTTAACTCTGCAATTAAGAACAGTGCATCGCTCTAACCAATTGAGCTAGCAAATAAGTCAACTGTGAGCTGGTAATTAAAGTGGTTTGTAATATACTTGCGAATGATAAAGATATACATTCCATATGATGAAACTGCGGAATGCAGAAAAAATGCAAAGAAGATCATCGCAGTTAAAGACGCATGCAACTTATGCAATTGCGAAAGGAAAACGTGAAAAAAAAAACTCCGTCTTGACGGGATCCGAACCTTGACCTCTTTTTCAGGCTTTCTTTTAGCAACTGTATAAGTTGTGCCTTCAACTGCGATGATCTTGTTTGCATAAATTATTTCTTCAGTCCAAGGTTCCAGAACATGAACTTCTTATATTCTCCATTTAACAGTATATTTTTCTTTGTCTCAATTAGAGGATCGATTGCGCATAACCGGCCTCCGTGCTGCTTGAGTGTCTTTCGAATGGATCCTCTGAAGCAATACATCTACCCTTTCGTTGTTGAATTCATTCTGCTGCCGATTTTCACATTCCTAGCAAGCACAAAGGGCAGCTGTTTGACTGGAGCATTCTTTTTCACTCCTGCAAAAGGCGTGGTCGATAACCACGCCCTTTATGGTCACATGATTGCTAACCTCACTGCTCTAGAGCCAATAGATTGTTTTAGAGCATGTCGGCTGGACTGTCGGTGTATCTCGTTCAACTTTAAACAGAGGGAGAACAGGTGCCAATTGAACGATGAAAACAGACACACAAACTCCAGTGCTTTAGGATTCGCTGAGGGTTGGCAATACTACGATATGGTCATGGACTACAACATCAGGGTAAGGAATCAGTAAGTTACTACTAAGACAACCCTTCTTAGTCTGAAATTAATTTATGGTAAATACAAGAGATCCATCGAAACGAACTCGACATGGACTAGTGAAACTTAAAGCTAAATCACGGTTCATTCATCCTGAGAAATTTAGCCCCAATATTTTTGTTGTTGTTGTTTAACCCATATTCGCTTTGATGCATTTATAAAACTTCCTTACCATAAATGTGCGAATAAGAAAATAATGACTCGAAATATCTCGGTGAAGTTTCCATAAGACCTCTCTTTGTGACACGCCGTTTTTACATTATCTTCCACCGGAAAACAACTTGCAGTCGTCAGCTCTGTTTTTCTCCCGAACAATAGAGAATTGAAAGGAACGCCAGAAGCAGACTAGAACGGTCAATCTCCGTACTAATTATTGGCTATATTTACATTTAATGCCGCTCCGAAGCGCAGGTTGTGACCTCAGGCTATTTCTGAAGTTTGCTGCGGCGGTTCCCCGATCTGAGTTGAGACTTGAATATGATTAGACTGAAAGGACGTACTCTCAGAGAAGGCAAAATTACATTTTAAAATGTAAAAATACTTGATCACTATGTTTTGTATCTATTCCTACTCATTGGGTCTGAGAATTTTCAGTTGTTTTTTTAATTTCAGTCTACTGGTCCCTTCGTTGACTGTCAGAACAGCTGCTGCGAAAACAATCCTTGCCTTAATGGAGGAACGTGTGACGTCCTCGGGAAACGTTTCAAGTGTGAATGCGGTCCGCATGCTACGGGGAAACACTGTGAAACTGGTAATAATGCAAAGCATCAGACCCATCAGGAGCAGGGGCGGATCTAGGGGGAGGGTGCAGGGGGTGCGCACCCCCCCCCCCTCCGAGAGGACCTGCGGTTTTCTAATACAACTGTTATTCTGTAAAAAAAAAAAAAAACTAGGGGGTTTATTGGGGTTGAAGAAGAGCAAAAGACGAGGGCACCCCCTCCTAAAAAAAATCCTAAACCCGCCCCTGGGGAGGGAGGGGGGGGATGAATTGGCAAATTGGAATTTGTATTTCATGTCGACGTCAAAATTAAAAAAGAAAACAACCCTTGCCTTAAGGGAGGAAGTGGGGGCGTCCTCGGGAAACGTTTCAAGGGGGAATTGGGTCCGCGGGGTAAGGGGAAAAAGTTGGAAACGGGGAAAAATGGAAAGCAACAAACCCATCAGGGGCGGGGGGGGGTTTGGGGGGGGGGTGCGGGGGGTGCGCCCCCCCCCCCCCTCCGAGAGGACCTGCGGTTTTCTAATACAACTGTTATTCAGTAAAAAAAAAAAAAACTATGTGGTTTATTGGTGTTGAAGTAGAGCAAGAGACGAGTGCACCCCCTCCTAAAAAAACTCCTAGATCCGCCCCTGAGGAGTGCAGGGGGAGATGAATTGGCACATTGGAGCTTGATATTCATGTCGACTTCAAAGATTAAAAAGAAAGTGATGCGAGATCAAATAATTTGTTTGTCTGGATCCTCCTTGAAGATTTTCTCTAATCTTTAGTGAGATAGTGACAGGTTTATCTTTGAACACAGCGCGATCGCAGCCTATCTTGATCAAATCCTGCTTGCTTAAAAGGTGTGTGCAAACCTTTTCAATGGAAGGAATAGCACGGCCTCTTTCATCCAGGCTTGGTGCCTATGTATTCATGCGTTTACTTTCATGGTGGAAAGCCATTGCGGCCACGTAAGTACTTAGATAGCGCGAAACCAGTACTGAGACAGTAACGTATTTCGAAAGGTCAAATCACTTCATGATTTCCAGCTTTAGTGATTAGGGTTTCCCATATTTCTTTTTGTGTACTTCTACAGTTTTAAGGGGTTATTTTGAGATAATTCTTCTCAACGACTTAAGTTAAAAAGGCCTTCCTAACGTTCGACACATTGTCGGTTTCTAAAAGAAAAATTTGAATTTAAAAAAAAACGTCTTTCTGAGCTTCAAAAAAATTCAGAACCAAAAGCATGATTTTCTTGATTTTCTAATCACGGTGTCTTTTATGATTTTTTTAAATTTTCTACAGCAATATGCTCCACTCCGGACTGGCTTCGCTTAAACAACTCTTGTTTCAAACTAATCACAGTAAAGATTCCCTGGCTTCAAGCACAAACGTATTGTGCTGGGATGAACAGTAACTTGACCTCAATTCACAGTGTTGAGGAGAACAACTTTGTGCGTCAGGTTGTGTCAGCTGGTTCGTCATATATGTGGATTGGACTATCCCGCAAGATAGACAGCCATGATGACAGCTTTCACTGGGTTGATGGCTCTGATCTTTCATTCACAAATTGGGCAAGTGGTGAACCAAGCAGCATTCATGAAAACTGCACTGAATTTGTCATGAGAACGGGTGGGAAATGGAACGACCTTCGCTGCACCGTGCACAAGTCATTCATTTGCGGCAAGAAATTGAATCCTTAAACGCTAAACAAAGACATGACTTTTTAATGATTTGCAAGAGTAGTAATGTTTGTGATTCTAAAACTCACTGAAGCTATCGTTATTTAATTTTTGCTGTGTCTTTGAATTGGGGCCTACTAACCAATATTTAGCTGAATAAAAGCTTTAATTCGAGGATTGGCGCCTTAAGGTAATGAATTCGAAAGCGCACTCACGGTCGGAGCCGATCCAGGATTTTGTAGCATGAAACACTTATGAGAATTTCTACTCCCCCTGACGGCATTTTAGTCCAGTGTAGAGGTATCCCCAATAGCAGTTGGCCGCTGTATTTTTAGCACATCCGGGTGATGGAAGACGAAGTGGAGCAAGGTTTCTTGTCTAAGGAATCAACACGGTGGTAATGAGACACGCGCGCGAACCCACGGGACTGATAGCTCCTAGGCCCGACGTATGAACTGTTCGGCCACCAGGTCTCTTACTAGGGTTGTAACTAACATATGTTAACTTTTAGATGTGAAGTTTTAAAAGGCTAAGTATCAAAAATGTTAATAAAAACTAATAATTTGTTCTTTGGTATTGTTTTCGGCTGCCGTCGATTGTTTCTGCAAGACCGTGTCTGCGTTGGACTCAGTAGTGTATACAAGGCATACTGCGTTCGACTATCAGAAAACCAAATGAATCATTTTAACGACTCACATTTTCTTTCTCCATCTTGAGCTTTTAAGCGCACAGGATTGTACAGGAAATTTCTGCTTAAGTTGACGATTTCTTCTTTCAATAACGAAAAAAAAGTGAAAACAAAAATATTGGGAGGCAAACGGTTAAATCCGTTGCTGAACATGCCTGTAAATAGGCCTCGAACATATTCGGAGACAGAGTTAAAAAACACAAACTAAGAGACTACCGAGACCAAAACATTACTTTTACTCCATCTAACCAGTAATGCCATTTAGACGATTTAGGAACAATTACATCCAACGTCGTGCCCACGGCTTTTCTCTAGCTCGGGGCGAGTTTGGCTTCATCGGCTTGTTTACATCTGGGCATTTGTTAGTCAATGAAACGCCAAATCTAGATTCGAGCGGTCAAACTTAGAGAAAAGGGGCGATCTAGGACAGGTGCTAAGTAGATTACAAGCACCAGTTTAACATAGTGGCAAAATCAATAAATCGAAAGCGACACTGGCCCTGTTATTCCTGGGATCTAGCTTGAACGATGACGTCACTGATCAACCCAGTCCTCTAAAGGACCACACACAAAGAAAAAGTATGATGCTGTAACACACCATAGCTAATCTGTTAGTGGGAAAGACACCGTCCTTAGTTCATCTTCGTCTTCAACAATCTTGTACCCGAGAAGATTCATTACCTCGTAGCATTCTGTTTCAACTAAGCGCACAATTGAGTAAGGCATTTGCTTGCGCCATTTTTGCACCGAGTCAGGTAGATTTTGCGTACTGTAAGAGAATTCGCGATAAATTGAGTTAACGGAAGGACTTGCAAATCCCTTTTGCAACGCGCGATCAATCCATAATCGCACCTCAGGGGCAATGTTCACCCCAATAAACTTGTACAGTTGCTCTGCGATTTGATGCGGGTTTGTTGCTAGATCCTCGTATCTTAGCAACGTATAACGCCCTTGTAACCAAGAAGGCGCACTTACTGCGTACTTTACATTACGCAACATGTCACGGCACAAGGACTGTGCATGTTCGCGCACCGATTTCACCGTCCAGTTTTCGTTTGAACTGTCCAGAACTTTCGTGTTCAAAACCGCGCGTGGATCGCGAACTAAGTGAACCACTTTTAGTGAATAATCCACCGGTCTTACACTGTCTACAAGATAAGAGAGCTTATGAATTGAATTTACTCTGATTGTTTTAACAACCGTGTGCTTGTGAAGACGGCAAAATGCCGAGGTTGCTTGTGGTCTCAATGGCGCGCACTTACGAATACTATAATGAGGAATGTTAATGTTATCTGGGCATAAGGGGGGCGAAGATAACGCTCGACTGGCGAGTCGATGACGCAATGAGCTGTACTGAAATGATAAAAAGTTTGTATAGTATGTAAGCTCCATGAAGTTGCAATGAAAAATTCCGTTCAACAAGTGTGTTACCATCTCATCATAGACGCTCTCTGGTCTATTTTCACGGTAGTATTCTAATGATTTCAGTGGCTCGTAGAGATAAAACACCTGCGGGTTCTGGTTGAGAATTTCTCCAAGATAAGAACTCCCGGAAGCAAAATCAGAAATGATCAAAATGTTTTGCCGTATTTTACTTCCGTACTTGCTTGCCGTGGAATCAAGTTCCATAAACTTGTTCAATCGCTGGAACATTTCTAATTTTCTTCTTAAAATGGCGTTTTCAGCAATTATGTAGGAGCAGTTTATGTCTTGTTTCAAGGTTTTATTTGCCGCGCTATTCTCTTGTCTTGCTTCGATTCTGTCCTCACAGTCGTCAGAATTTAACATTTTGAAGTCATCGATGTAACTTGAACTTTGAAGCTGGCGGTTCCTGAGGCACATCGTTTCTAGATTATCGTCTCTTGTAAACACAAAAATAGCGCAAATTATGAAAAACGAGACAAGCCAAAAAGAAGGAGCGTTCAATTTTCTTGGCCAAATACAGTAAAGAGAACGAAACATTCTCTGAAATTCCCGCTAGAATCCAGTTTCCAGAGCACCATTTCAATCCATTTTTTCGATCATAACTCAATTTTGAAATCCTCTTTTGGTGGCGTCTACAGGTTAAGATGTCACACTGAGCTGCCGTATGGCGGGATTAAACTCTTTTGATCGATCACAGACTCCCGTGCAACATACATTATTCTTAATCTTGATAAATGAAGACAAAACCAGCTAACTCTCAAGTTCGTCCTGTCATGATTTACAAACAATCGAAACACACTAGGAAGCAAGACAAGAAAGAGACACCCGTTCTTTTTAGTCAAGCCTTGTTTCCACCAGTTGCCCTACGCAAATTCGAGATCACCATATATGGGATAGCTAAATAATTTATCACGTGACCCCAGTTGACTGTCAAAGAAACGAACCGATAACTGAGTTTTCAAACAAATAGTTTGTTTTCAGTTAGTTTGATATAAATTAAAATAAAATTTTATGGGGTGAAAAATAGGTGTAGTAAGCGAATACTGAAGCAATTCTCGATAGAGATTGTTTTGAAAGCGGTTACTAAAATATTTTAGGACTAATTTGTAGGTAATGGTCGGTTTGTCGGTACCCGTGCAACAAGCAATTTCTAACAACATCTGTTAACATGACAACAGCAAGTTATTTGCGAAGCAGCAAATTAAAAATTTGACATGAAACATAATTAACATAACTTTAAACTCTAAATAAAAAAAATGCAAGGAAAGTGCAAGTGATTTTACACAATCGCTTTGAATCATCGTATGATTGACTTAGATCATAAAATATCAAATTAAATTGTACGTTTAAAAAAATATAAAATTCAGGAAGTCAGTACCCTTCAATTTTGTTGATTATTATCATAACTTGTAAAATAACTTCATAACCTTGTTTTGGGATATAATAAATTGTTGTTATTGTTTGTTGTTGTTCCAGGATTTTTTTCAACTTCCGACATAAGGCTTTATTTATAATTATCTATTGACACGCTTGAAAGAGTGTCTTAAGATAAGTGGAATTCCAAGGGGCGAAGAGTGCTGACTCGTCCCCAGTCGTCTTCGCGTAACGCGCGCGGCGGGAGCAAGGGGGGAAAGGGAGGGGAAAAGGGAGCTTTCCTCCTTCCCATTACACCCCTCGTGCCACTAAGGAGAGACAGAGAGAGAGACGACTGGGGACGAGTCAGGCGAAGAGTGAGTGTTTCAGAAACAAACAAGGGAATAATGGAACAGAGAGAGAAACCCCCTGTCTAACCCTAGGGATTTCTTCAAAGTTATTTTTAGACCAATTAATTTCCGGAGAGATCCACAAATTAAACTTTTACTTAGTGGAATTCAACAGTCGCCATTAGAACATTCTGCACTGTTTGCTTTGAGACAGTCACGCGTGTACCTGATGACGTTTCAAACAATCCATTAAAAATAGAAGTTGTTACTTCGTTCTTCACACAGAGAAGAGCACGAAACTCGAGTGACACGCTAGTGACTTGTGACAAAGCGCAATGGATCACGGAAAGGAGAGAGAAGAGAGGTGAAAGGCCGTCTCGCCCGTTTTCTACTTCCCGCCTTCGAAATTCCTTTAGGCGCAAATTCTCATCAAGAGAGAGAAAGACATCTGGGTATAAGGCAGACATGGAATAGAGCCAAAATACGTATCCAGCAGGAGCCCGCGTATCCAGCAATCGTTTCTGGGATGGATACCTGGGACGCGCCAGTCAGCAATTTACCAATTATTTTCCCTGTCCCTAGTAACACTGTCCCGGGTAGGGAGGTAGCGTGGCCGAGTGGTCAGCGCGTCGGACTCGCAATCCGGCGGTCCCGGGTTCGAGTCCCGCTCTGGCCACTTGCTGGATTTGTGCTCGGTCGTCCCGAGTTCAAATTCTCGGCCATGCTCGAAATAGCCAACTGGTTGCCTTCTGCCAGTTGGGGTTTTTAATCCTGTTATGTTGTATTTGAATTATTTGTTTCTAAATATTTGAGTGGAGTGCCTGTAAATTAGCTGACTAGCTAAGTGCATCTTCCACTATAAACATGCCTTTTTTTTTGTGAAAGTAAGTCGGCCCAGTTTCTTCCGCTCTTCTAAAGTGGCGAAAGAGAAATAAGAGACTCCTTCAAGTAGTCGTTTCTCTAAATTTAGATCAAGAGCCATAATGGCTTTTTATTTAGACATAGCACTGTACGTGATAATCATAAGATCTTCTATCATTAATACCAAATACATACTGTTGTTACAAGAAAACGAAAGGGTGTAGTGAAATTGGGTGCGTAGAAGTTCACTATCTGTTCAAATCACTCTATTGGGCACGCGCAATCCTACTTTAAAGTAGATACGTATTTTTAACGGTTGTGACTGGAATGGATACCCTAAATTCAGATTGTCATCTTCACTCCCCAAAATACATGACAGGAGTTTTATAACTTAAAGTAGTAAATAAGAGAAGACTGAAAAAGGAAGAAAACAGTTGGTAGTCTAGGTAGTATGAAGGACGTGAACCCGCACGATTTGATGTATAATCCACATCCGTATCCACCACACCGTCAAGGGCTAACTGCCAACATAAGTTAATTGTAACGTACTTTAAATCACACTGATCATTACACTATTGATCGAAGGTAACCTTTTTTAAAATAGTGCTTAACCCTAATCATTGTACTTCGGTGCTACTGTGAGCCTGTATTCAACTACCCTAAGAGCAGAGGCCCTTCAATCGACTTATCTAGGAAGATCGAAGGGCCTCTGCTCACAGGGTAGTATTCAACCCTTTACCTTGTACAACTGTCTATTATTACTCTGATTTCTCCACTTTTGCCAAAAATCTGCCACCCAGCTATCTGCGGGGCAAATCATAGCCAACTTTTGTTTTTTATACAAAGAATAAAGTTGTTGTTGTTGTTGTTTGTTTTAAACCCCGGCCGGACCGTCGGCCGGACCAACAACAAGGGTCTTTTAAAAAAGCTAGTGAGATAATTCTGGCTGTGATTTGAGACCTTGTCTCACTTTAGATCATGATGATCGCGTCATTGGGCGGTGACGTTGGACTGGGGCCTTTCATTAGTCAAATCAAAGGAGACGTAAAAGAACTCACACTCATACTGTTCAAAATGAATAGCCGCAGTGGAAGTTTTCCCGGCGGTGTGGTCCACCTTTCACGCATCATGCATCATTTTATCATGGGCTATAGATCTCAAGGTTACAGTAAGCTCATAAATGGACTGTTAGCGGCTGCCAGTGGCGCCCTTGCATGCTGACGTCCGAGCTTACTGTTAACATGTTAATTACCAAAGAGCAGCCTCGCGAAGACGTGAGGGTGCGAGGTGGCAGCCAAATAGAGCCTTACGTGAAAGTTCCAAGGCAGAAAAAATCTCGAATCGATGTAACACATAGTAATGTAAGGTAACTTTTATGACGTAATGCAGAACAGAGAATGCATTGTTTTAGAGTGATGAACACGTGATACAGAACAGAGAATCCACGAGCCGTGGGCGTGTTTGTGAGTCCCGTGCTCATACCGCCTTCAACCAATCGTCGGGTGGATTCATTTGCATTATACGCGTATCGCTGTCGCATTTGCTCGCTGGAGTTTTTTATTGCCTGCCCCAAAGAAAAATAATAAAGCCGCAAAATTTATTGTATCTTTGAAGCAAAATAATTCGTAAGGCTTCATCGGCGCACTATAAATTTCTTTTTTGCTCTAAAAAGATACCAAATATATATCTGTACGTTGACTATTTGCGGACTTTAATATGATTTTTCGAGGATTCTCGGTCTGCCTATAAGACCAACAAATTTTACGCAAAATGACCTGTGGGCAACTTCGGACAAAAACCCGAACTTCATCTCGAAAAAAAGCTTTGTAAAGTCGGGATTTCAAATTCCTTATGCAGTAGAACAGTTTACTTCACTATCTTCAAGGTAATTTTTGCCTATGCAATCGAATCAAGTTCAATTTATTTTCATAAATTACGGTAATTAATGACATTTCTAAACAAATAGAACAGTGCGCGCGTATAAGTAAAAACCTTTGCTCGTTGGCACAAACCGATAGCTATAACAAGTGTATACAGTAAAGAGGGGGCATCTTGTTGTCCTCTAATCCACGACATTACATTACATTACACTACAATAAATTCGCATAAATAGTTCTCTACGAGGAGTAATAGACATATGGTGTCCAACCTGATTTTTTAAAAGGTGTTTGTCAAGTCGCAACCTATTTCTAACATGAACAGAGTCGAAACAAACATGCACGATAAATGCATGGGACTTGGCATGAATCATTTGCTTAGTACCACGAAATTATGAAAAGCCAGGCCCTTAATGTAAGAAGAAGCAAATAACATTTCTAATTATTGCTGTTTGAAACAACTGTGGGTAACTATGAATGTGCCCTTACCACAAACTTTTGCCGGTCTGTCAGCGAAGGCAGCGCTCATAAGGAAAACCAATGTTCGCCTTTAGTTGAATCGGACCTGAAAGAGCGTTTTCACATGACGTCACGGCGGCCATATTAGTGTTCCAAACGAATCCTGGGGGAGTTAAAGTGACTCGACCCATTTTTTTGGGGGGGGTACCATCCTACTTTGAAGCTCTCTGGTATCCCCACCTTTACTTTTATCGTAAGTCTAACACATAGAATGGATAACATATAGATCAATCTACAATATAACATAAAATTTTTGGCGATCGGAGTAAATGTCACGTGGTTATAATGCCACGCCCCTTTGAGGTCTGAGTCGAAAATCTGCTGTTGCCGGCATTTTTTCGTGAAAATCTCTCGGC